AAAAAAAAAAAAACCTTAAAATGCATGAAGAATTTACAGTGCACCTAAATATAAATTACTATTTACTGTAATAGTATAATTATCATTATATCCTTTTAGAAAATTCAACAGCCTTAGTATTAAGGATAAAAGGGTTTTTTTTTTAAGGGTTCATTAGTCATTGCATGATTAATTAAAAATAATTAAATTTTTTTATATTTTAAATGCATAATATAATGAATATATTACTTTAAAAGGAAATTTTAAAAAAAAGATTGTATGGAGAGATTTGGTATTTTTACATTTTAATACTATATTATCCTTAAAAAAATACAAATGATAAACTTACAACGAGGGACTTATTTTGTTTTTTAAATTGTTTTTATTTTTTTTATGATAAACAAGTTGGAAGGTGATTTGGTCTTTCAATTAATATGAATATCATTAAGAAAAAGTTTCAATTAATATAAATATCATTAGGAAAAGGTTGCTTGCATGCTTCAACTGAGTGACTACCATATTCTTTAAGTGGCACATGTGACATCGTTCCACCTTTAAATTCTCCCTTCAGTTGTGTGTGTGCATAATAATATGGTGGTTAAGCTCTGATGAATTTTTTATTTTTATTTTTTTTCTTTGTTTTTTCTTTGATGAAATATAAAGGTAGTATTTAATTTGTTTTTTGTTAATTATTATTTTTTTTATCTATTTTAGATTGATTTCTTTTCTTTAATTTTTTATTTTATGATTTAGTTTCATTTAGTTTTTTTATTAAATTTGATCGTCATTCGATTTGATTGCTGTTTGTTTTTTAATTTTTTTTGTAATTGAATTTTGTTTTTAATTTCATCTTTTAACCTTTAATTTTAAATTTTTATATCAATTTTACTCTTTATTTTTTAATTATTACTTCTTTTGTTTTGGATTTTTTTTCTAATTCTTTTTTAATCTTTTTTTAGGTTTGTTCTTAAAATATTTTTTTTATTTTATTCATCAATTTAGAGCATGATATCCCGTAAAAAACATGTTTGGGCTGCAATGGTCTTTAACATTTCACACCTAACCATTACCTAAAAAGAAACTATTTCCCACGTGTTCTTACAATCTAAACAAGCATTCTTTGTATTTAGAGGAAACGTCTTTCAACCTTTAACCTAAAATTCTTTGAGAAAAAACTCACCTTTCATGATTATTGGTTTCTAAATAACCAAACTTAATTCACTTCTTTGACAAAATACAAACCAACCACAAACCCTAGCCACATGTTGCACGGACCCTAAATAAAAACATTCATGCTTGAAGAAATATAAATTACCAGCATCCAAGAACCCTAAATATGTTTTCAAAAGAGTTATGGGACCAAGGCTAAACCCTAACGCACTTACAGCAATAATAAGAACATGGAAAAGCTCTCACTTGTAAACCTAATGACCTAGCTCGAACCAAACACATAAAGCACGTCATTTTCATGTTATTCACACCAACATAGATAAGAAAACTCATTTTTTTCATGATTTTCAGGCTCAAACTAGGTCTTTTACCCATATTATCATCAAACATTAACCAAGAATACTAAAATGTGAACAAAGTATAAAGCCACACATCATGTTAGCAAACCATGTTCATGTTGAAAGATCATTGCTTTGCATGTCATCATAATCAAAACCGGTTACTTGAGGTTACAACGACATACAACAAAAACCCAAACATTCTTGTAGCGCTCATGACAGTATTGTCCCAAGACCATTTGAACTCAAAGAATCAAACCAAAAATCCGAATATAAACCCTGATAGCTACTGTAGTCGTGTTTTTAACCTTTCTGTCCAAACCAAGATTAGCCCTCACCTAAAACTTCTATGGTGGTGTTATAATGCTTTTAAACCCTTTTAAGCCTTCTTTTGAAGTCTGCAATCACCTCTAGAAAAATTTAAAATGACTCTGGTAGAGCTACCTTGGTTGCCATGACCCGAGTGTGTTATTTCTTCCTTTTTCTCTCCTTTTTGTTCCTTTCTTTTCTTTTTCTTATCGTTTCTTTCTATCTCCTTGTTCTTTTCTATCTTTCTAGCCTTCCCTCTCTTCCTCCTTATCGTCTCTATCCTTTTAACATTTTTTTTCTACTTCTATTTCTGCCTTGTTACTGCATGTCTAGTATGTGTATTTGTGGGGCTTTTTATAGGCGAGAATGAGGGCATGAGGGGTCTTGAGCTACAAAGATCAAGACCTTTGATTCCTGAGAAATATCACATCGTTGGTTGCAGCCCACAAATGTCCTTGCCTGAGTTGCAGACTCACAAAGTTGGGTACACAACTGTCTTGTAGGTTTTTGCCGTTTTGGCAAAGGTTTTAACATGAGTTTGCAGAGGGTTTCAGGCAAGGGCGGAGGCAATGCAAAGGTTGGGTGTGCTATAGCGAGATTAAGATTTTATTAATAATTTTTACAGGTTTTATATAAAAAAATTTATAATTTTCAATTAAATTATTAAAAAAATTTAAAAATTTACATGAACCTTCTAATACGATGTTTCAACTTGATTTAAAGTTTCATAATTTTTAGAAAAATTCATAAATTTGATAAAAAAAATTACAATTTAATCAATTTTATGTTATTGAATGTAATTTTCAATCTGACCATCAGATTGAGCTAAACTTTTATAAGAGATCTTAAAATATATTGAATAAAATCTTGTTAAAATTTTAGGATGAACAGAGTTTGGTAGTGTTAAAAAAACCACTAAATAAAAAAAATGACTCATTAAGGATAAAATAGTTATTTTTCATTAAAAAATAAAACAAATCAATTATTTCTTCTTTTTATATATTGCTGACTAGGCAAAAGCAAAATAGAAAAAGGAAAAAAGAAAAGGCGAGAGAGAAAGAGAGAAAAGTAAGAGAAAAATATAAAAAGAAATCCAAGAAAAAAAAGAAATATGAAAAAATAATCTTGTAAACTTACAAAGTCTAACCTGTAAAATACTAATTTAAGAGAAGGAAAAAAATTTAATTTTTTTATTTTTCATTAACATAAGATTGTTGTTTTATTCCGGTTGAGGAGTTTTACAATATCGATTCAGATTCGATTATAGATAAATTATATTTTATAAAATATCGAATGATATAATTTTAATAGTAACTTTAAATAGTATATTTGAATTAAAATTTTATTGTTAATTTTTAAAATTTAATGTATATAAATTAATAATCTATCTTAAAAAAAATATATTTATTTAATAATTCAGGTAAAAAAAACTTTCTAACTCCCTTTATTTCAGGGCTACAAAAGGGCGAGGAAAAGAGCTGGGGTTGCAGGTGGTATGTCAAGGGAGAAGGTCGCTGTCTTCATTGTCCGGTTCGATGAGAGTAGAAGAGCATTAAATGTCCTAAAACATGATGCCCGCATGATCCTTCTCGCGCGTAAACTAGCTGCGGAGGGGAAGCAGACAACAGAGATGCAACCGAAAAGATGTCATCCTCCGATTGTAATTATTATTATTATTCCCTTTTTTATTGTAACGAGTAACGGCGTTATTTCCAATGAAACTCACCGTTTCATTTATTTCATTTAAATGGACTCGACATCGTTTTTATCTCGTGTAACTTAAGGTTTTAGGGTCAACAAAACAACGTTGTTTTCATTAGTCAAATTTAGACTTGGAACTTCAATATTCCCCTTTCTTCTTCGGTTTACGGTCTTTAAAGATCTTCAATCCAGTCCTAAATTAGGCTTTGTTTTTACAAATCCTTTTAATTTCCCCCTAATCATTCTAAACTTGGTTCCTATATTTTGACACCCATTGCAAAATGGTCCTTAGTTCCTTAAATTATATAATTTCAACCAAATTGGCTTGTTATTTTAAAATTCTCTTCAAGTAAGTTCATTATTGAAATAAAAAAATGTCATTCTAATTAATTTCATTTTCTTTTCACTTTAGTCTTTAGACCCTTAATCTTTTATTTTTGGTTAAATTGACTCTCAATTTTAATTTTTTATTTAATTGAGCCTCTTATTTAATACAATCTGATTCATAAGTTTAACAAATTTATTTATTAATATGATAAGTTTTTTTTAATTTTTTTTAATTTTTTTTTATTTAATATTGGATTGGATGGAAAATAGACTGTATTATTAATTTTTGTTTTTTCACGGATAATTATCTCAAATAAATAACTATTTTTAAGTTGGTGTATAATTTTGTGAATATTTATTTTTTATTAGATAATTAAATAACAAAATATAAAAAGTTTTAAACTCAGTAAAGCCCATGACATAGGTCGCGAGAGAATGGTTAATCTAATTTATCATCGTCTCAATATTTTTTAAAAAAATTATAATCTTAAAATATTTTTAAAATGAAACCGATTACTTAAATTATATTTGAATTTATAAAATTAATTGAATTAGATTGAGTTAGTTTTTATGTAATTTAATTAAAATTTTAAGTTAAATAAAGAATTGAGTTGGAAGATTTTAAAATTAGCTTAATTTTATTAGGTTTAATAATATTATTTAAAAAATTTCATATTATTAATTCTTTAATATTTTTTAAATAATATTAAACCTTGAACAAACATGGACCACGTACTAGTATTTCTAGAGAGGATGCTTTTCAGTAAAATCAAAATCCACCGACGATTCACCTAATTTTAGCCTGTTTAAAGCTCCTTCCACCTCTGGTTGTGGGCTGCGCTCATCCGTCTGTCCTTTTCGCTTTCTCTCACTCCTTTTTGTCCCATCCCATCATTCCTCGTTTTCATCTACCCGTTTCTTCATCTGCTCTATGTTTTGTGACTGTTAATATAGTGCTAATAATTACTAATTTTAAAATTTATAAAATTAATTAAAATATGTAAACTGATTTAGATATTTATATTAATTAAAAAAATGCATATTCCCAACTTAATTAGGCATGAAATGTGCCCATGTACTTTAATTGGCATGTGTTGCTTCGATTTCATGGAGAAATTCAAAATTCATTAGATTTTTTCTCTTTCATATTTTTTTTTAAATTTCATTCTGTTTTAATCGAATTTACTTCTCAGTTATTATTAATGTCATAAATTTAACAACCATTCAAAACTTATACAGTTATTAATTTTAAATTTTTAAAAAATTAATTAAAATATACATAAACTATATAAAAAAAAAACAAGAATGGATTAGAGAAAATAAGAAAACTAGATACCCTAAAGTGCTCTTTATTTATTTATTTATTTATTTATTTATTGTGGGTTGGGTGAGCACTGCTTCTTTTCTGGTAGAAGGGGAGCACTGCTTTTGTCAAAAAGAGAAGGGGGGATATCACGATCGTCGTTGAATCCGAGAGAGAATAAATCAACTTACCACATAATTTGATGAGAACGCACGCACTCACTTCCACCTACGCAGGAACAGAAGGTGCGTGCTCTATCTAACTTCCTAATTATGCTTCCCCTGCTAGAAGCTCCCTTGGCAGCATTAATTCAGCTACTCTTCATGTTCCTGAAAGCGCTTTCACTAGCACAACGACAAGGAGATATTTTGCTGGTGGAGAGACATCAACAGCTTGCCTCCTCGCCACACCTGCGGTGCCAGTTCGAGCCGCCCGTTCTCCTGGGCTACTTTGTTAGCAGACAAATGAACACCAGGATCGGCTAGAACTAGTTAATTTATGATATGTTCAAGTGAATTTCAATTTAAAGAGAGCGGCAATATTTCTTGAAAATAAGTAGATTACAAAATACCCCAAGATTGTTCGATAGAAATTGAAATATGATATATGCTCAAGAATCTTGATTTAATAAAAAAAATAAATAAATTGAAGTACATTAGCACATTTAGAATTACGAATAAACCAAATAATATCTATGTTATTAAATGCTACAAAAGGGCGGGAAGCCATAAGAAAAATAAGAAGAAATAACCCAATAGTTTTTTTTCCATTACATTATTGAGCTCTAGAACGTTTAGGCTATTTTTGTACACAGATTCGACATGATCATCGGCAAGGAAGCCCCTTTACAAACCCTTGTGAACATGATTTTGAAGCCTGTTACGAGCCCGGCTCAACTATTCTAGGGTCAGGCCCAGCTAGAAGTGCAAGCCAACCTTCCTTTTGAACTGGCCCATCTTAAATATTTATTTGTAGTGGATATACGGGATGGTTAGGGTGCACGAGAAAGTGATAAAAAATTATATTTTAAAATATTTTTTATTTAAAAATTTATTTTTGATATCAGTATAATAAAATAATATAAAAACATTAAAAATAATTAATTTAAAGCAACAACATTTAAAATTTCATAAAATAATAGATGTATTGTTACCTCAACACACATTCCCCCAACTTTGAATAAATTAATACAAGAATAAGTATTTTAAATTGTTAAGCATTTTTAAGAAAATCAAGATTTATGCATTTGACCCCAGTGGAAGGGTGTTGGATTTTGTCATACTTGCTTCTATAATTTCATCGTCATCATTGTTCTCCTTGCACTTACCATTCTTCTTCATGTACACAAAATCATAAATGTATATTATTAAGTGTGTTTATACAATCATATTTAATTAATATAAAATATTAAATCTTATTTATATTGGGATCCATAATTATGTGAAAATAGAGTACCTTAGCTTTTAAATCAAAAATCAATTTAAATAAAGTAAAAAATTAATTAATATGTGTTAATAGGGTTTATGTAGGAAATAGAAGGAATGATTGATGATTTTATTTATTTATTTATGTGGGTGTTCGGGCCAGCTTGTGTATACTACAATTAATTCTATGACCCACTGAACATTCTACAAGCTCAGTGAGCATGTAAGGCACCGTGGAAATGATAGATGTGCATAGTAAAGCTTGAACCCGAGTGCAGAGGAAGAAAACAAGTCCCTCTCACTACTGGGCTAACATTTCAAGTGTACGATGATTAATCTCTCATCTTAAGAAAATTTAAAGTTTTAAGCGCTAAATCCCCCTCTTAAATTTTTTATAATTGACCTGGAAGTTATTTAAAAATGTAATAATAGTTATTTTTTAAAGTATTTTTTTAAAATATATTAGAATAATATTTTATTATTATTTTAAAATTATTTTTAATATTAATATATTCAAATGATCTAAAAATATTAAAAAGAACTTTTAATTTAAAACAAAAAAAATTTAAAAATTTAAAAATATCTTTAAAACATAAAAATAAACGTAATCTTAATGTTAGAGAGTTACTAATTAATTTTTACTTACTCCAAATCACACACAGCTTAAAAAATTAATATGAATGTAATTCGCATTTTATATTCGGTCAATTAATTAATATTGTTCTTTCAACTAGACAGTAGGCACAAATAACTTTTCCTAAGGTAATTGCAAAATCACAAAGCCCCATCACTAGACAGTAGGCACAAATAACTTTTCCTAAGGTAATTGCAAAATCACAAAGCCCCATCTTTCAAAATCCAAATAGTTAATGCTTCTAATTTAATTTTGGATGCGCTAATTCTTTCGCACGGATGAAAAATGAGACTCGTATTTATTTTTATATTCATATATTAAAATTATTAAAAAATATTAATTTAATAATTTTTCGAGTGAAACATAGTTAAAAGCAGAATATTATACTCTCCTACATTCATTTAATTTGTTATAACGGGTCGATCTTGGAGCTCACCAAAAAAAAAAAAGAGAGAGAAAGAAAGAAAGAAAGAAAGAAACAGTAGAAAGTTGACTATCAAAGTCGAGCACCTATGAAAATTTAATTTGATTTTTTTGAATTTTTTTTTAAAATAATATGATTTTTAATTTTAAAAAATTATAAAATAAAATTTTAATTAACTTAAATTAATTAAAATTAATTTTTTTAATTTATAATCCGGGACCAAGTTAAATAACTTTGGATGGTTTGACAATAGAAAACAAAAGGTGCAGGTTGTTGTATCAAATTACTTGTTTTATCTGTTTCATTCCATCGAAGACTAGATGAGTATTTGTGCTTAGTTAGGAGAAATTTTTAAAATATATTTGTTATTTAACTACGCAGTAATAAAAATAAACAATGAATAAAATTATAGAAGGAAAATATTTTTAAAAACAAATTCTAATTCAGGTAGTTTTTTGTTGTTTTGAGAGTAGAATAGCTTTTCTTTATTACAACATAGTTCATTAAATACAAAATAACATTGTTTCATATAAAATAAGCTTTTTTTCTTTTATGAGAAGTATTGTTAAGAAAAAAAATTATTATGATTATACAATAAAATTTTAATTAAAAAATTAAAAGTTATATCTAAATATTTTGTATACAATTGAATAAAAAATAATAATGAATATGAGAAAATTATAATAAAAAATAAAAATAATTAAACATTTATTTTTATTGAGTATTCATGATAACATAGTTCATTACACAAAAACAAAAT